TACTCCTATATTTCTAAATGTGATATTCAGGAACGGATCCTCGGCAGGAGGAGGATTTATTTTTTTTAGATCCGAGGCATCCGTGCGTCGCGGCTCATCCCCTCTCTCCTCTGCCGATGAAAGGACACGCAGCGAAGAAGTAAACTCGAGCTGCTGCCTCGCTCGTCTCTTTGAATGAATGCGGCAGCCCCTCCAATCACTGCACGACTGAGCACACCGGGGAGACGCTCCGTTATCCTGTGCGGTGAGAGGCGCAGGCAGCCAATGAGGGCGCGCAGCTCTGCAGCCACAGGCAGGCGTACCAAAACGGGGGAAAAAAATTAATATTAAAGCTCCTCACACGCACTCTCCGAGGACGGGCGCAGCGGTGGCGGCTGCATGACGGGGGTTGCCCAGCCGAGAAGAAACGCATTCGTTATTTAAAGTGTATCTAAACCCAAGAACAAAAAATGTCACATATATCGTAGCTCATCATTCCTTCCATGCCAAGTCTGCACCACCTTGTGACAGTGTAACGCGCTTCCTGTCGTAGGGTGACAACGCTAACTCACCGTACTGTATCAGGACAACAGAAACAAGATAGGACTAGTGAGCCCCATCCCTCTCCTATTCTACATAACACGGAGTAGTCGGGTTGTGTAGTTTACAGAGATAGCTGGAAACAATGTAACTGATAAGAGTGCAGCACTGGCAGAGGGCACAGGAAGCTATCAGCTCACAAGATTTCTGGCAGGATCAACAATTATTATTTGCATTTATGGAAGAGATATAACAAAATGTTTTTAAGGGCTAAGTTTACTTTTCTGGCCATGTTTCATGTTACACTCATATTCAGAAACATGGTAATATCACAAAAATGACACGGTTGGACAAATCTCCCGTTGTGTACATTGTATTCTGACAGCTGCACCGGCCACTGTCACAATACCCAACGGGTGCTTGCAGCTGTTCGGCTGGTGATTTTCCAGCATGTCCCTTCGGCAAAAACATTGATCTGATGATCAACATCTGGGGATAGGGCCACCCACGGATCAAAGTGCTCCAATGTGTATCCAGCTTGGGTCTATTTTCCTATCTGTTCTAGTCATCCCGGATGTATTTTCCTGAGGTATTTGTGATATCTGCCATCTCTCCTTCTGTATCCAAAAAGCTAACCCGTTTCTGTAAACTAACAGGCGGGGGACTACCCCTTAGGACCACGCTCCTTCAATTGTTCATATGTCATTTCTATTTCATGTTAAAGTGACATTAAACCCTCAGACCATGTTAACATAAACCAATACTGTAATGTGCGCCTTACTGTAATCCATGGTTGTTTCCCTTCTCTTTGCTGCTCTTCCGTTTAAATCCTCATGTCTTCTCATGCTGGGCAGAACTGTTTTGCAGCAGACTGCCTTGTCTCTGAAATGGATACATGGTGTCTGTGTGAAGGTTCACAACCTGAGCCAGCACTACAGGAAATGGCACTGAGCTGCAAAGGGAAGTTATCCCCCAGCATGAGAAGACATGAGGATTTAAAAGGAAGAGCAGCAAAGAGAAGGGAAACTACCATGGATTACAGTAAGGCGCACATTACAGTATTGGTTTATGTTAAAAAAACTGAGGGTTTAATGCCACTTTAAGTTTCCACGACTCCAAAAATATACCTTTTATGTTCTCGTAATCCTCTTAATGATGCAAATATTTGCTTCTCATTGTGTTATTTTCCCATCAGTTTTATTTAAAGCTCCATTCATTCTTATATCTAGAGTAGTGAAGGTTTGTGTCCCTTTTAAATCTCTTCAATTTTGGCTTTGTGCACCAGATCTCTGTATGGATCTCCTCCGGAGCTGTCTGCCTGTAATTAAAGAGGAACGTTACCCAGGACTTTGAAATAACAACAAGCACACCTTTAGAAATGTTTAGTGATGACAATCTACAAACACACACTTCTAGATAATTGCCGGCTTTGCATTCTTTGTATACCTTTATTTTTCTTTTCCTCCCCATTCTTCTCACAGCGGCCATTTTTACTAAGGGCAGATTAATAGATCTCCCTTTACTTCCTGGAACTCTGGCACATGCGACCATGCACATTCTCTCAGGGGAGGAAAATGTCTTTCCCTGAGATCTCCTGAGATTACACATGAGATTTCCCAGCAATGCTCTGCTGATGTAACCTTCCCAGGATGCAACGCTTGGTCACAATGACATCATTTGTTCCCCAGAGGACCAGGAAGTGGAAAAAAAAACAAATTGTATAAAATAGAAATATGTTTAACTAATGAATGTAAGATGATTCCATATCAGCATGCAGACAGGGCCAGACTTACTCTCTCTGCTTCCTCAGGGCCAGGTTACCCGATGCGCCCCCCTCCCCGCCAACTCCCCTCCCTCCCAATGGATAATGGCAGACCTGCAGGCTGCATACAAGTGATCTTGGCGACATCGCTGGGATCATTTGTACAGAACCCGCGGCAGCTTCGCTGCTGTACATTTAGCTCGACTTGCCCAAAGAAGGGCTAAATGTAGAAAACAACTACCCACCCTGCACCCGGCACTGCATGTCCAGGGCATCAGGAGATAGGAATTCCACACCTCTGCTGCCCCTCTACTCCCTGCTGCCCCAAGGCCGGGCCTTGGTTGGCCTTGTTGGAAATCCGGCCCTGCATGCAGAGCTGCCTAGTGATGTGTTTTTTAGTCTGTGGTTTTTAGACGGGGTACAGGTCCACTTTAACAATCATAGTCATCAATTTAAGAGGTCCATCCTAAAATATTTTCCCATTCCTGCTTACTTATTTCAAGTGTTGGAAACCTTTTATACCTTGGACCTCTGGGAACTCTTTTTTTCATGTAGATATTCTGTAAGGACAACAATATCCCACCAACATTCTCTCTTGCCCGGAGTTCCTTTGCCAAATAGTATTGAGCTCTTGGTGTGGAGAAGTGACTGTCCCTCATCACACAGAGCATTATTGACCATAAAACCTTTTACAGCACTCATGATTCCCATAACGCAGTCAGCGGCACATTCTTAATGGATTATTAGGCCCTAATAAGGAGTCAGTTGGGGGCCTTTTAATTAGCATGTCAGGGATTATAAAAAGCTGCGCGTTTCCCCCCCCCTCCGCCTGATAGGACTTGCGTCAGGGCCCCTTAACAAATTATTACTGCTAACGCTTTTGTTTACACTCCTGGCCACGCCATCACAATGAGCCGGTGCGGAGAGACGATATTGGAGACGTTAAATTATGCAGGTTACCGATGCTCACTGGTTATCACACGAAACACATTAGGGGCTTCTATAATTGTCTGCATGCTCAGAATAATTTCCTAGGTGCCCACCTGCTGAACCAACGGGATGCAACGCACCCCTGATCCGCTTCAATGGCCGGCAGGCGGATACCAAGTGATGCAACTTGCATCTGGCCACCGCTGAGAATATGCGTTGCTTGTGCTGTCATTCCTGTGTAACTTGGCGCTCTCAAGCTGAGACGGCCCAATTAATAAGCATTCCTGTAGAAGGAAATGTCAGGCGAAAACACAACAGTAAATAAATACGCAAAGTGAAAAGCTGTTCTTCTTTGTAAAGAGTTTGAAGACTGACTCATGTCTTTTCAGTTACTTTTACTTTTTCGATTTTAAAAAGGATGCGAAATACACATCAGTGAACTGGAGAAACGGCGAAGTGGCTTTTGATGTCTCCCGAGAGATGTCTCCTTCCCGTGTCTTTGCTAGGAAGATGAGTCATCAGTCAAGAGAACAGGAATGTGGATGCTTTGCTGCACAGTAACTGATCGTCAAGAACCAGAGCCTCCTGCTCACCTCTTGTGGGGGAACTTTGGTCTACTGCTCTCCCTAGCTGGTTACTCTGATGCCCCCTCTTTTGGACCAGATGTGCGGCTTCTGGCTGCAAACCCTGCATTAGTCTCCATTAGAACGTTCTGAGCATGATTTTGATACCACCCAGTTGGGAAGTTTAAAGTGATACTAAATTCAGAATTTAGATCTTAAAATACATTCAAGTACCTTAACTATTATCATAAATGTGTCTTATTTGTGTATCACTCGGCTGAAGATCGTCAAATCATCTCTGAATTGGTGCTGACACTGTCCTTCCTTCTGGAGGGTGGCTACTTTTGTTCCCCATGGTCTCTGTGTGTGTTGTAAAGTAGTCACTGCTCCAAGCTCACTCCTGTGATGGACTACAATCTCATGTTTAGTTTATTAATTTGTAATGAGATTGTAGTCCATTACAGGAGCGAGCTTGGAGCGATTACTACTTTACAACACACACAGGGACCATGGAGAACAAAAGTAGTCACCATCTAGAAGGAAGGACAGTGTCAGCACCAATTCAGAGATGATTTGAGGATCTACAGGTGAGTGATACACAAATAAGATACATTTTTGTTATTGGTTAAGGTTCTTGAATGCATTTTTAAGGTTTAAATCCTGGGTTTAGTGTCACTTGTGCTAAGCTAAGGTTAGTTCCAATGATCTTCAGTATCCTTCTTGTTCTTCTGGTTTTGACCCCATTCTGTCTTTACATCTGATTGCCTTCCTGTTTACTGCTTGCACAAACCTTACGCCTAATTCTCAACAAAGCCTCCCTAGTGTTGTCTCAACACCTGGCCTGATGTTGGCAACAGAATCTCTAGTGTCTCAATCCAGCTTTATTGTACCAGACAGAACATGGACCCTACTAAGATCTTTGCTCTGACATGTTCCGACCAGTTGATGGGCTTAGTCATAGTCAAGTCTATGATTAAGCCCACTGGCGGGGTGAAACATGTCAGAGAGTGAGGATCCTGGTAGGGGTCTATGTTCTGTCTGGTACAATAGGTGCAAACTCTGCATTACTATCTGTTAGCACATTCTAAACATGATTTCGATATCACCCAGGTGGGAAGTTTAAGTGCTGAGCTAAGGTTAGTTCCTACGAGTTTCAGTATCCTTCTTGTTCTTCTGGTTTTTACCTTATTCTGTCTTTACATCTGCCTTCCTGTTTGCTGCTTGCCCTGACCTTACACCTAATTCTCAACAATAGCTCACTAGTGTTGTCTCAACACCCAGCCTGACGTTGGCTACAGGATCTCCAGCACCTCAATCTAACGTTATTGTACCAGGCAGAGCATGGACCCTACTAAGATCTTCACTCTGACATGTTCTACCCAGTCGCTGGGATTAGTCATTTCTTTGACTGCCTTACATCTGCCTACCTGTTTGCTGCTTGCCCTGACCTTACACCTAATTCTCAACAATACCTCCCTAGTGTTGTCTCAACACCCAGCCAGACGTTGGCTACAGGATCTACAGCACCTCAATCTAACGTTATTGTACCAGGCAGAGCATGGACCCTACTAAGATCTTCACTCTGACATGTTCTACCCAGTCGATGGGATTAGTCATTTCTTTGACTGCCTTACATCTGCTTTCCTGTTTGCTGCTGCCCTGACCTTACACCTAATTCTCAACAATGCTTCCCTAGTGTTGTATCAACACCCAGCCTGACGTTGGCTACAGGATCTCCAGCGCCTCAATACAACTTAATTGTACCAGACAGAACATGGACCCTACTAAGATCTTCACTCTGACATGTTCTACCCAATCGATGGGATTAGTCATTTCGGTGAATAAGCCCATTGCCTGGGTGAAACATGTCAAAGAGCGAGACTGGTCTATGTCCTGTCTGGTACACGAAAGTTGGATTTAGACATTGGAGAACCTAGAGTGCAGCTACATTTTTTTAAATTGCATGCGGGTGAAGAGCATTGAACTACTCTTTAGGAGCCATTGCAACTGAGGTACGGAGTTGGGTACCAAGCTTAACTTTGAGCTGTTCCTACTTGCTGGAATCAAACATGTCTATGCCTCTGCCTTATTCCTACTTCTCTGCCCAATCTTCATACATGGCCAGGGGTGCACACCAGGGTGACGTACTCTAGGTGCACCTATACTGCCAGTTCCAAAGGATTACGAGTGACAGATAGACATGTAACAGACTTGGTGTGAATGAGCTCCTAATCTTCCCAGAACAATCTGTGTTTTTTCTCCACTTGAGACCAAACGTATATTCTGTAATATCAATTTTTAGCAGACTGACCACTTATTGCTTTTAGATGCACGGCGGTGCATTCCGTTCTCACCGTTTCCAAGGATACCTCTGACCAAATGCTCACGGCCAGGCAATTTTGTATAGTTCAAAAAGTAATTAAAGCCCTTTGCTAGCCAAAACATTTCATTTTTATAGTTTAACTGGTGCCTATGTATGTGGAAAATACAATCTACCTTTTAATACAAAAGCAGACTACTCCTATCACATTTTATATAAGCCTCTTTGTGTTGTTGGGGTTCATAGGTGACGAAGGGTAATCATTCTCTCTTTATTACGGAGCAGATCTTTGACACCACAAGGGGCACAGGGGCCAATGATGTCATGAGGTTTGTCATGGGTAAAATGAAGCGCTAACGGCTGGACAAAAGGTCACCCTGGCCCCTTGTTTACAGGTATTACACCAAAGACAGTGCCGGAGTATTCATCACCAAGAAGGTCATCAGTGCGGTCTCTCAATAAAAATATATTACAGGCTGGGGAAAAGCGAGTATATATTGCACTGGATCCTGCCGGCCTTTTCATACACAGCCATTTCCCTTTCTTTGACGGTTATTAATGGGTTCGTTACTGACTCATGACATCTCCACTATTGCTTTCTGAAGGCCACGGTGTGACCATCGCGGTCGTGATTCCCGGCAGCGGACAAAGATATAAACTTTGAGCTGAGTTAACATTAAACATCGTTTGCTTTTGTGAAGAGATAAGGTTAAAGTGATTGTCTGCTTTAAAACAAACAAAAAAACATCAACCATATTGAGTACATTCTCATTTCCCCATGTTTTTCATTCTTTAAAAAAGCTGCAAGTACAGAAAAATACCTGCTGATCCTGCCAGAAATCCCATGAGTTGCTTCTGCTATACTTAAATCCTAAGCAACGTTGTCAGCCCTTCCTGCTGGACTGCAGAACTCCTCCTATTCCTGTTCCTCTCAACATGTATAACTTGATTTATTTCCGAGCAAAACAATGCTTCTGTTTTGAGTCCCACGAGCCTGTCCA